ACGAAAAGGAGTCGATAGTCACCTGCATATACTCCAACTGCAGTATCTATTCCTGGCAAATCAACAACTTCACGGACAGTTTCGAGTGTTCTGTTCTTCTGCCTTCTCTAGACGACCAGCTGGAAAATTTAGAGCTAGATAGCTGTGTCAACGAGAGCGTCTGTAGAGCCAACATGTTTCGGTCATTAATGGGCTGCATAGAATTCAGCAAAGATTCCAGACTTTTCGATACAGAAACTCTAGCTGCCCGTAACGGCATGCGATGTCATCACGACCTCATGCATGTCATCAAGGGGAATTCAACCAGGCAGCAGCACGTCACTTCCTTCCGTTTCAGCCCTGACGGCCGAGACGTTATCTGTGGCAACGAAGCCGGTGAGATTAAGGTCTACGACGCCTGCACTGGGGTTCTGAGGCGCGTCATTGAAGCCCATAGCGCTCAGGTGATGTGTATAGAGCTTCTCTATGACGGGGACTACCAGCTGGTCTGCACCGGTGGGAGGGATAGAATAATTTTTATTTTAAACGCCAAAGCCGACTTTAGCCTCGTGCAAGTTTTGTGCGATCACTCCGCGGCAATCACTGCGATCAGTCTGGTCAGTCACGACGGTTTACTCACCCTAGTTTCTGCCGCGGCCGATAACCTAATCCTAGTACGAAGAGCAACTTCAGGGAATTCCTTGAAGTTCACAGTAACCGGTCAGATCGTGGAATCCAGGTACAACAAAGCTTTGAACGTTACAGGTGATTACATCATCACAGGTGATAGAAATGGCAACATTAAACTCTTCAAAGCGGACCCGATATTCAACCCTAAGCTGTCGAAAACGTTGAAGACAATACCCAAGGGGAACCAGATTACATCCATGCCCAGACCAATGTGCATTGATCCAACTGGTAGCTTTATTGCGACAGCCCAAAACGCCGGGCAAATTGTGGTCTACCATCTCCCAACTGGCCAGCCTATCGCGTCTTTGCCAGCCCAGACAGATGCCACCACAATCAAATTCACAAACTGTCTGAGATACATGGTAAGCTCAACCTCCAATGGTTGCACTATGATTTGGAGGATTCCAGAAAGAATGACCGACTTTCTGGTAGCTAAGCGAAACAAGACATACCAGATCGAGGTTGCCAAGGAAGTGTCTTACGAGACGACAATCGTGTCGTGTGTGAAGGTATGCAAGGAAATGTCCATGAGGGAATCAGCCAAAAGCAGTGATAAACGCGATTACTCGCGCCCAGACTCCAACCACAATTATGATACCGACGCCACGCCGAGTATTGAATCTTTGAGTTTTCTCCGAGATGCACACGACGGCGACGGGGAGTCAGACAGAAACAGCGTCTACAGCACGGAAAGCTATATTAGTTGTAGCACTTGCAGAGAATCTTGTTCCGACACGGTAAACTGGTGTCGCTCATCCGATTCGAGCATCCAAACCAATTCGGGAACAATATCTTTCAATTTCCGAGACGATAGCGATTTCTGTGGTCGGATCATTGAAGATAGCCAATGCAAGAAACTAGGTATCTTCAGACAAAAAAGTAATGAAGCCAAAGGAAAATATGGCAAAGTGAGATTTCTTCAGTCCATCGCCCTGCTTTAGTGCAGAAGGCGACGACAGACTTCTCCTACTTAATTTAAAAGGTGAAGCCCATGGCAGAGATACCACTTCTAGTGGCGGAAAACTGAACTTACAGTTGAAACACGGGCATACAAAATGTACAGACAGACTTACAGTGAAACAACTTACTGCCCTTTCTGTCCCCATTGACTCCATCCTGTCTTCGCAGCTATTGAGTGTTCATCCGAAAACGCGCACCGGAGAAGTAGCAGACGAGGATTATGGTTATCCAGAATATCATCAAACTATGGCTATAGGCACAAATCTGCAAATGATTGCAGACAAAAGTCTACAACACGCACGCGATAACAAAGAAAAGCATAGAGTGGACAAATCTGCACTGTACAGTGAGCTGACTACCAAATCTTCAATTTCTGTTATTGAAATCGACACCGAAAAATCAACACGCAGAAACGCAATATCGCCTACAGTTTCTGACAGCAACGTCGCTGCCAAACATTGCCCCGAAGTTGATTTCTCGAATGAAGAATGCACACTAACCAACTCACATGATTCCCAAGATGAAATACAACAGGGCTCTATGGTACCCAATGGCGACACAGAAGCTCCGGTAAATACTGCAATGTCAGAAGACGAAACAATTTATAATTACCACTCAATCACAAGGGATCCAAGTGGGAAACTGAGACTAGTAAACAACAATAAACCGAAGTCGCAGAGCCCAGTGTCCAACTGTTCTGACATAAACTCCCCGCCCTGTAGTCCCCAAGTTAGTCCAAAAGAAAATGATACAACGCGTACTGTTTCTCAGGACTTCAGCTTTCGGAACACTCACAGTGCAAGGAATTTACATACAGACATCACAGATCTTTTACACGATCCCCTTACACTTGATTATAATACTTACATGGGTGATGGTTCTTACATTACTAACAACTGCCTTACAAATCTAGACGATGAGATCAACGAGCGCCACCTGGCATCTTGTGACCGAGACACACTACTACAGAAAGTTAACTACAGTACAGTCTCCAGAGCAGAAGATTTGGATCTAAGTGATCAGAAACTGGAGGAATACTTCAGTGAACTTCGCCAATGCCTGCAGTTGACTAATTCCCAGGAAACAGTGTATAAGCTGGCGTGCGACGCCCAGGATCATGAGTTAATGGAGCTCTTAGAGCTGGTTCTGAAGAAGAAACCACCTGTCTTAAATGAATCCTTAAACTTCATTGCAAATCCGTTAGCGATAATTCGACATAGCTTAGCTGAGCCAGACCACGGCGAACAAGAAAGTCTAAACGAAGCTAGCCAAAGTCCTACCCGAAACCAGAAACAAATAATCAAACAGGCCACATCATCAGCAGCAGAAAAAGATGAACCTCATAGCCAGCATCACAACCCAAAGAAGAAAACTGTATCAGATAGTGAAACTTGCAGTACTGCTGAAAGGATTACCTTGAGTCAGTGTTTCAGTCAAACTTTAGACAGGGCTGAGTGCAGTCAAAGCACAGCCAAAGCCCTGATCAGTTTGTTTGGACACATCCTCAGCAGCCGTAGATCATTACAAGAACAACGATCCACTACAGAATCGCCTGTTTCGATCATCGACAAGATTCAGTCTCTTGATTTCCAGCGAAGCGTAGAGAAGAAATGTAGCGGCGACACGAAAAGCGCAGCCTCTTCCAGCACACATCCAACAGAAGATACACACAGACAGCCACAATATTCAGAAAACAGTCCTGCTAAGCTCATAGCCCAGAAGTTTCTAAGAAAACACAATAGGAACAACGCCGAGCAATGTAAAGACAATAACATGTTAGATGTTTTAACGGAAGGATCCGAAGAAAATTATGAGCTGACCAATTCCGTGTCGGATGTCTCCTCTGTTAAAGCAACACCTACAGCGCCAAGTAAAGGCTGCAACAGCGGGGCTGAATCTTATGCAGGGGCAGAACTACCAAACACGAAGATCATCTCACGCGAACATCCAGAAGCTGGTCCGGTGAAGGATCTGAGGACATGCCAGAAAACTCGGGCTCCACTGTCACCGGAGAAGACAACGAAGTTGTGTCCTGTGTTGGAGAGAGATGAGACGTATACGGCTCAGGGAATGGAACCTTGCCTGAGGCCGCTCAGTTTAGAGAAAGGTGAGACTGTGTGTCTCCTCAGCGTTGGTGCTCTTTTGGTTGTTTGTGTCTGTGTTGTCTGCCAAATAGTATGTTTTTATATCTTTCAGTCTCAGATAGTTCCTAATCCAACACTATTTATTCTCAAGTTTTTATGCTACGGGAACAGTTAGCATCTACACCTTACGACAGTATTCCTCAAACTTGTCTGTAAAGAGGTCGTGGCTCCCCGGGGCGCCGCAGCGCACAGTTTGGGAAACGCTGCCTTAAGACATTTGTTGCGGGAGACAGAGCCTCTAGAAATATGCGCGGTGTGCTATGATTTCGATACTTTAATCGTTAAAACAGTAGATCTGCATCAAAGAGTAAAATATTTCAGTCTTCTTAAATTAAAGAGTACCTTTTTTTCGGTAGGTCGATCCAGTCTTAAATAGTTATAAGATAAAGTCGTGGGAAGTAAAGGTGGCCTGTGTAATGTTGACCCCAACACCCACCGATTGCGCTATAAAATGTAGCTTTAGCCCTGTATGCCCAATACGCCTGAAGGCGTGAGAAAAGTTTATTTATTCTTTTATTGTTTACAACTTACAGTACTACCAGTGTCAGATAAAACTGGTTAAAATAACAGAAGAATGCCACAGAGAGACAGAGTAAAGAAACGTACAAAGTAATCAATGAGTTCCCTAGCAATAAATGTGTTTAAAACGGTAATTAGTAAGAAGGCAGGGCTGGCCCAGTGGTTCGGATACCTGTGTTCCATTCATTGGTAAGAGATAGATTCGTTTTCTGCTGGGGAGGGGGGGGGGGGGCATAAAAATTATCTGGGCAGTTCATGGCAATTGTCGTAGCCTTGAATCATCAGTCTTACCTCCCCTTTGTCAGGGGCGCTGAAAATTGGAGAAAGGGGGGGGGGCGCTCAGGCCACTTGAGCATCAAAAAACATTTTGGGTGGGCCGAGCGCTCCCCCCCCCCCCCAACCACCCACCTCCCAAAAAAACAACTTTGTAAGGACCTAGCTTTAAGTCAGCCCCTGTTACCCATGCATGTAAATTATCCTTGCAAATATTTGATTGCATATTTTAAATTATTTCAAATGTATTATTATATGGATTTTGCATACAGTACATTACCGTAATTATTATTATTATGCTCTTAAACTAGTCTTAGACCCTTGGAGCTCCGTATATGTATGACGGAAACTGGAAATTTAAAAAAAAAAGGTCGGGGGAAGGCTGAGGTAATGTCAAGGTCACCCCAACAATCATCTCTGTCTTGGCCCGCCTGCTTGGAAGTGGTAAATACAGGCGGTACAAGGCAGCTCATTAGCTTATTCATCAACTTCTGAACTTTCCTCTTGTTTCAGAACTAGATTTTTTGCGTGCACCTCCGTAATAGAGGTCAAACTTCGTTGTATGCAGACTGTTGGTTCCTCGCGCGTTTCAGGCAGATGCAGCCCGTCTTTATTAAAAAAAAAAAAAACACCAATAATTGCTCGCCTTATACGACAAGCTTGTCAGAAGGCAGTTTCTCTACCCCCTACGCCATCCCTCGCTTTTTTCCCGTGTCCTTTTTTTCAATCGGCCCCCGGGCGTAGTTGATAAGAATAACTTTGAAAAAGGGAAACAACAATATTATTTTATTGTATGTTTCTTTTCTCATTATTACGTCCCTTTGCTATCAATTCTTTTGTATCACTATTAGGAAGCTGCTCCAATACCAGGTTGGCCTAGCTTTAAATTGCTATCATGTAAATTGCTGGGAAGTAAAAGTGATATTTTTTTAACACATCACCCCCCCCTGACTGGTCTATAAAATTTAGGTCTATCCCTATAAGCCCAATACGCTTAAAGGCCCAGAAAGATATTCTTTACCTCAGTTTACTTTTACCCCAAGGCCACAAAAGGGGGAGCTGTCATGTGTCGAGGTTAAACAATGCATACATTAAAATAAAGCAATATCGACGAGAACCCGCGACACAAAGCTGGTCACTGGGTAGCCAGGTTGGCAGGACGTTTTTGCTTAGAAATGGACGCTAGGCGGGCCAGTGTTTTTGGAGACGAGGCACATTTTTTGCTTCTGCCGGACGGTGGCCGGTGCATTTTTTTTGTCCCATTTGTTGACTGGACATAGTTTCGTCGCCCAGCTTCTGAGTTGAATGCATGGCGTGACAAAGATGGAGCAAAGATGGGGTGACCTGTTTGCTATGAAGCTGAAACTAGGACTACCAGACTACCAGACTATATAACAGAAGCTTTGAATAAAAGTATTGTCGTAAACTGTTGCTGCTTAAACTGAAATGCTAAATGAAAACTGAGAGAGTGAGAGAGAAACAAAGAAAGAGAGTGAGATGATGGGTAGAGACAGAGGGGTTTAGAGCGAACAGAGGAGAGAGAGTGTTTCAGAGAGAAACAGAGAGAGGAGATTGACACAGAGGAGAGAGTTGCAGGGGAAGTCAGGGTAAAGAGGATGAAAGAGATAATTATTACCTTCTTCAAGGCTAGAAAAATAGAGCAGCATGCGAAAGCTCACAAAATGTTAAATGTTGAATGCTGAATTAAGGATCGACATCACAGCACTCGGGACACTCTCATAAGTCCTCAGTCCCCATCTTCAGCAGCAAGTGAAAAGTTCAAATTCCAATGGTACCAGTAACTGTCTGATTGATTATCCGTCTCATCCTTCCCCTGAGTGTTGAGTCTCGGCCAGATCCCCTGGTAACTCCCCGCAGCGCCATTCTCCTTAGACAGTAATGATCTATCTGCTCCTCCGCACGGTTTACTCGCTCTCAAAGGGCTCTCGCAGTATCTGACTTGTCATACAGTTCACCACCAGGGGATGCAGAGTCAGCCAGTCTATCTGTTTGCTCATTTTTCAACACATCGGCCTGACCTAAAGAAAATATCAAAAGCTCACATGCAGTGGGTAGAAATTAACGTAAATTCCCAGTTGCTACTTGTAAAATGGATTGAAAAAAAAAAAAAGACTAAATGGAAGCTAGTGAGGTAAACATGTAAACTGTATGGTCGAGACTGTTCCGTGAGCAATGACAAATTTATCACCAATGAGCATGTCCTTCACAGAGCTCTCTTCGTTCCACGCTCGAACGCCACTCTTTTTTCTAGCCAGCACTGTGGGCTTTCACAGTCAGCAATCCTCAATGTCCTTATCCACATTCTCGGAGGTAGGTCTCTGCCTCGTCTTCCGAAAACTGTATCCTCCATCAACGTTCTCTCCAGACCACCATGGCGTTTGACATGTCCAAAACAACCACGCTTTCGGGAGAGGATGTATGCAGGTTGTACCCCACCAGGAAACCCTTTCAGCCGTTAGGCTACATCTAAACACCGACTATTTTCATGGACCCCCGGCAGAAGCCAGAGTGGGGCTTCAAATAAAAATTGCATCCCACAGGGGAACGACTGATGTGAATTCGGGAGAGGATGCTGTTTACGAGCCAGTTCTCCTTGATGTTCAGGTCATGCAGGATGGCGACGTTTTTCTTCTTATTTGACTACTAAGTTCTATATACCTGTCTGTAACATTTCAGTTCAAAAGCTCCGACTTTCTTCATCCATAAGTTGATATCGGAAAGATGCATGATCTCAAATTGTTCACGTTAACTTGGGAACAAAGTTGTGACTCAGACAACAGTTTCAGCAGTGTGTGGTCTCAAGGCATAGTGTCCGCCTTGAGTGTTAGAGGTTCCGGGCCAATCCCCGGTAAGGGATGGGATTTTTTCACGTGGACTTTGACGTCTAGTAATTCCCTCTGGTCTCTGGGTAGTGGGATCGGACACCCGTGTGTATTTGTTGCGCACGTAAAATAATCACTTGGCAGTTGGAAATCTAAAATAGTAGCCTAACTGCAATCCCTTGGCGAAATTTGGAGTTAAAAATCTACCCAAAGTATTTCAGGATCCTCGCCGGTGCTACAGAGCCTGTGCACTTCCGTGGACTCATACTTGAGTTAGAAGAAGAACAGGGCACTTATGGGTTACACCCGTGTGCCATGACATGATGTTGATCCGTTGTTCAAAAACCTCAAAACATCAATGGGGACGTGTCAGCCCATAACTTGCTCTGTTCCTATGCAAATAAAAATGATATAAAACATTAAATGCCATTCGCAGTCGGATTTGAAAACTAGGGAACTATTTGTACGTCTTAGCAAAATCTTGAAGCATGGACACGCGAAAAAAAAAAAAATACAGCTGTGGCAACACTAACAGTCCCACGTCAGAATTGCAGGTCACTATTGGCGTAAACAGTCAAAACAGTCACACACAAAAGCCAGTATTGCAGCAGCAAAGCTACACGCCATTCTGAACGTAATCAGTCACTACCTATTTTACTGTTTTTTTTTACATCATTAAGCAGAAGGCATAGCTGGGGGGCGAAACCAAACATTCTAAATTAAATCCACAGCTTACAGTGTCGCACCAAATATTCAGCTCAGTATCTGGGCGACGGAACCTTCGGACTTCAGGTCCAGAAATGAGAAATTTGCATCGGCAAAGCCTAAAAAAAAAAAAAAAACGAACAATTCTTCATAGTAACAGCGCTCAGCCATCTGTCGGCCAAACAGGGCGGAAGTCTGTGGCAACGTCCTGAAAAAGATGCCCGTTTTAACATATTTAGTAACCCAGTAGTATAGTAGTTACAGCCTGACCGTACCGAGACAGCGACCAGGTTTTCAGAATCACCGATCTGGTCAATGTTTTTGACCCCATCCATCTGATCAGGTCATCCGAGTATTTATCTTGCCTTCCTCTTGCTCTATTTCCATTAATCTTGCCAGTTGTAATCAGGTTTTCACGCGCATATCCCTTTTTTTAGATGTTTTTTTTTCAATGCAGTTGCTGATTCCTTACCTCTCAGGCAAATGCACTCCGGCTTCGAAGAAAACACCTCTAGCTAGTCGACTGTTACGACACGCTTGTTAGAATTTAATCCATTCATTTAAAAATGAAACCCATTCTTCTTGTTTTACTTGGCGAAAACATAATAATTTACAAAAATATATCGTCAGCACTGCGTTTGCGACAGTGCCACTTCTACCTCATGTGCAGCTTCTTATCTAGGACATATGCGTGTGTGCACACAACAGCCAATTACCACGGCTCTGGAACTGAGAAACATTACAGTTCCAGACAAGGATTTTAGTCATGTATTTCAAGAACTAGGGGGACAAAGTAAAACTAAAAAGTCATACATTTAGGGTGACTATACGTCACGTGTTCACCGGGACAGTCCCGTTTTATTATGTGTCCCGGTCGCCTCCGTCTGTGCTCCTAAAAACTTAAACTGTACCGTTTTATTTAACACACACACACACACACACACACACACATACACACACACACACACACACACATATATATATATATATGCACACACACACATATATATATATATATGCACACACACACATATAGATAAGGTGTCCGTGGCTTAGGCCTTGCGAGTCCGACTCGTAATTCCAACGAACCACTATCGAAACCCACTGCTGGCTGCGTGGATTTTATCATGGTACGGGGTGTCGCAGGTCGACTCAGCCTAAGATGCGTACCAGGATGGCTGTCCTGGGGAAGTAAAGGAGGCCGGAGTAATGCTGACCACAATACCCACTGAGTGCCGATTGGTCTGTAAAAATATGGGGTGATCTTCCTGTATATATATATATATATATATATATATATATATATATATATATATATATATATATATATATATATATATATATATATCTAGCAGTAGGTTAGATAATAAAACATATAGTTATAGCTACAGAAATGTTCAGTAGTTTTAGATGTCTAATAGCAATAATATTATTAATAATGATGATGCTAATAATAATAATAATAAAACATTCTAGAATTTAATAATTCTAAATTGCTCGGCATGACCTATTTTCAGCTCAAAATATTAATTAATGCGACGTAGCCCTTTTACAGCTCACGATATTATGACCACTCTGTTTGTACTGAACTTCATCGGTAATATCAAGTGAAACGAGAAGGTCCTGCAGCTCCGCGGTTTCTACCCACCAGCCCGACCTATCCACAACCTTCCGTTTCACGTGCTGACCTCCCCTAATCTCTAATAAACTGGGTCTCCTATGTCTGATGCCAAGCAGTACAGCATTTTTTTTTTTGATTGAAAAAGTTATGTCCTTGTAGTCATCTCACCAAACACGCACCCTTTCCACTTTAATACACAAAACACATTCAGCTTCTCCAGTTACACATTTCGTCAGCGAAAGTTCAAGAAAGTCAACGTTACTAACACCGGATTTTAAAATTTACCACGTGTTCATTATGTCTGCAAATCAGGTGATTGTTAATACTTATCGTCATACTTTCGCCATTTTCAGTAAACGCCTACACGATGTGTCGTAAATAACACAGAAGGCCCGTTCCTTATCAGTTATATGTCCAGAGTCAATTTAATGATGTCCCATGGAAGAATTGGGTTCTTTCAAATCAATAAACAGAAGGGAAACCCTTGAAGTTGTTTAAATATTTTAGATATATAATTAATAAAGAGACAATGTACTGACGAGCACTCATAGAAAGAAGTAGAGAGAGAGAAGAACACACAACACAACGTAAAAATCGAAAGCTATAGTTACCGTTCAGGGAATCGAACCTGTCACCTCCAAATGGCGTGTGCGCCTCGCTATGGAAACACGCGTACTAAGACCATAGCCAAGTAGGCAGCCTTAAAGAAAGGTGTCCACACTGGCATGTCTATCGTCGACAAGGCCAACTTCAATACTGAAGACGGTCTTGTTACTTTTGTCTTGATTGGTCTCGGCTTTGCATGCACGTACGAGTCTGTGTCGAGTAGGTCCCTGCAAACGACTCTACTGCCGTGTACCGGAAGCCAAGCTAAAGGGAACTAGACAGCTTCTCGTGTGTGTGTGTGTGTGAGTGTGTGTGCGCATGAGTGTGTGTGTGTGTGTATTATTTATGTGCGTGCGTGTATGTGCGTGTGTGTATGTGTGTGAGTGTGTATGTGTGTGTGTGTATGTGTGTCTGTCTGTCTGTCTGTATAACACATTATACCCCTCCAGATTAGCATTCTGCAAAATTAACATCTCAGCGCCAAGGATCAAACAGGTGGACGTCTAGAAAACCCTGTTCAACCGTAGCCATATGAAAATACCAAGTAAATCACCTCTTCTGACAAACTGGGCATATAGGGCTAGACCAATACTGTATAGACCAATCGGCACTTGGTGGTTGATGTGGTCAGCTTCCAGCTGGCCAGCTTTACTTCCCCGGACTGTTACCTAGTACACCTTTAAGGCTGGGGTCGACCTGTTAGCCAAGGACACTTTAAAAAAAAAAAGTTCCAGCACCGTCCAAATTTGAACCCACGACCTTCGTATGCTATACACCACAAGTTATACTGGTGCACCCCAGAACGGTGCCGAAGTAAACCTGCAGTCCATACTCGGTGGATGATGTGGTCAACATCACCCCCAGCCGCCTTTACTTCCCAGGACTGTACCTGGTACGCAATTAAGGCAGGGTCGATCTGAGAGCCAGGGTCATTTTAAAAGGAAAATAAAATAGTGTCGGGCTCCTTCAGGACCTGAACTTACGACCTTTTAATCCGCAGGTAAGCGTCTAGTCGCTACATTACGGAGGCCCCCCAGTGTGTGTATATTATATTATATTATATTATATTATATTATATTATATTATATTATATTATATTATATTATATTATATTATATTATATTATATTATATTATATTATATTATATTATATTATATCATACTTATATTATATTATATTATATTATATTATATTATATTATATTATATTATATTATATTATATTATATTATATTATATTATATCATACTTATATTATATTATATTTATTATATTATATTATATTATATAATATTATATTATATTATATTATATTATATTAAATTATGCTTATATTATATATTATATTATATTATATTATATTATATTATATTATATTATATTATATTATATTATATTATATTATATTATATTATATTATATTATATTATATTATATTATTTTATATCATGCTTATATTATATTATATTATATTATATTATATTATATTATATTATATTATATTATATTATATTATATTATATTATATTATATTATATTATATTATATTATATTATGTCATACTTATATTATATCATACTTATATTATAATATGCTTATATTATATTATATTATATTATGCTTATATTATATTATATTATATTATATATATTATATTATATTATATTATATTATATTATATTATATTATATTACATATATATTATATTATATTATATTATATTATATTATATTATATTATATTATATTATATTATATTATATTATATTATATTATATTATATTATATTATATTATATTATATTATATTATATTATATTATATTATATTATATTATATTATATTATATTGTATTATAACTTGTATTAACAATAATGCTTTGTTTTTCCTCCTCCTCCTCCTCCTGTGGTGGTTGAGAAGGCACGTGTTCTGACGGTGACAACGTGCGAGGAGCAGCAGCCAAAGAAAGTAGACCCCACAGAGACTCGCTAGCCCCGGCAGATCGCAAATACCCGGCCCCTATTGTCGAACTCTTCCGAGATCAAGACGAGTACTTAAAAAAGTTGAAGGAAGTGCGCGAGAAATTTGAGATGAGTATTCAAGCCCTTAGCAACGAAAGAAAGAACAGACTTGCGGAAGAAGAACGGCAACAAAATAAATAAGCAAACAAATAAACAGTAATCAAAATAAATTAAAATAAATTAAAATATATTATTAAAAAAAGAAAATAACGAAATTGACTAGTCCTGAGAAATGTAGCACAACCTAATGTTTTATTTTGTTTCGTGTCTTTTTCAAGCGACAGATTACACAAATAAACAATGAACGATTTTGTTCTTCTACTTTTGTAGTTCATCCTTCCAACCGCCTTTTCTGATAATCATCGTAAACTAGACTTTAACTTTCTACCTTAATATTTCAACAACAATACAAAACACTTACAGCCTTTTGAAATGTTAATATACCTGGAAATTGGGATATTTTATGCCATTGATATGCTTAGTATACTTTTTGTTAGTATACATTTCGCCAATGGTCAGTAAATGTTTAGAAATATACTCCTGCCATTTTGAGGCATTAAAATATTTATTTAACGAAAACAATTGTTTCTCTTAGTACTGATTTGCTCAAAAGTACGTGTTTCTTTCTGCTGCGTTTTTCAATAATTACAGTCACAGTGGTTTGTTAAATTAAAATACAGGTAAACTTCAAGATTGTTTGAGAACCTTCGTTGTGAAAAATGTCAAGAGTCTTAAGTACGCTGCTCCTCCTTGGTGCATGGCAAAAGTGGGGTGGTCATATTTAAACTGTCATTAAGACGTCACCGTGTTAGTCCGCATCGTGATGTCACGTGCTTAGCCCCCTTGACATCCTTAACAGCGATATTGGCAGGTTACAAGACGATGACATGGTAGGTATAATTTATGACGAATTTGTAATGTTGTCATTTTAAGCTCTCCTTGTGGTGATAGAACAAAAATGTGATTATGAGACTGACACACTACCTATTGCGCATGATCGCGTGTGCAACTGCTGATCTATTGGTAACTTCTGCTATCGTCGATGATGAACTGTTTTTCGTATCTCACAGTACCTTTTGCAAAGTCACCAATTTCGTCTTGTCCCTGTCCGAGAACATCCGGTAAGGACTAGTAGAGCATTGCACTGTATGTTTGTTTCGGTAAGGACTAGCAGAGCATTGCACTGAATGCTTGTTTCGGTAAGGACTAGAATAGCAATGCACTGTATGCTTGTTTCGGTAAGGACTAGTAGAGCATTGCACAGTATGCTTGTTTCGGTAAGGACTAGCAGAGCATTGCACTGTATGCTTGTTTCGGTAAGGACTAGTAGAGCATTGCACAGTATGCTTGTTTCGGTAAGGACTAGCAGAGCATTGCACTGTATGCTTGTTTCGGTAAGGACTAGTAGAGCATTGCACTGTATGCTTGTTTCGGTAAGGACTAGTAGAGCATTGCACAGTATGCTTGTTTCGGTAAGGACTAGCAGAGCATTGCACTGTATGCTTGTTTCGGTAAGGACTAGTAGAGCATTGCACAGTATGCTTGTTTCGGTAAGGACTAGCAGAGCATTGCACTGTATGCTTGTTTCGGTAAGGACTAGTAGAGCATTGCACTGTATGCTTGTTTCGGTAAGGACTAGTAGAGCATTGCACAGTATGCTTGTTTCGGTAAGGACTAGCAGAGCATTGCACTGTATGCTTGTTTCGGTAAGGACTAGTAGAGCATTGCACTGAATGCTTGTTTCGGTAAGGACTAGTAGAGCATTGCACTGTATGCTTGTTTCGGTAAGGACTAGTAGAGCATTGCACTGAATGCTTGTTTCGGTAAGGACTAGTAGAGCATTGCACTGAATGCTTGTTTCGGTAAGGACTAGTAGAGCATTGCACTGTATGCTTGTTTCGGTAAGGACTAGTAGAGCATTGCACTGAATGCTTGTTTCGGTAAGGACTAGTAGAGCGTTGCACTGTATGCTTGTTTCGGTAAGGACTAGTAGCGCATTGCACAGTATGCTATTCCTAATATCATTAATGTTTTCGTCGTGTTCATCCTCTTCTGTATTGATCCTAAAACTGAGATGTCGCTGCATGTGACCGCTTATCCTGGCGCTCCTCTCTTCGGCCCATGAAGCTGCTAGAACTGCAACAGCAGTTCATATGTCAGTCTGACGCTCCAAAGGCGATATATAAAAGGTAACGAGGTAAACCAAGCACCAGCTACAAACAGCTAAAGCCCATGGCTACTGATACTAAGAGAACTGGACCATACCAGACCTAAAACCCCCAAGCACCACACCGGACTTAGGAAGCAAAGAACCGGAATATCAGGTGTGACTACACACAAACAAATAAAAGGAAAACCAAATAAGATAGCCAAGGAACTTTCCTTCATTTAGCAGGCCTCTGGGCGGCTGAAAAAGTATCAAATTTGGAATTTTTGTTGGACAACTGGAATTGGAATTGGAATGACACTATAGTGTGTTAGCTTCATACAATTGTACGAGCGTACCATGTCGACAATAACAGAGAACATGCAAGACAGGGTTAAATCCAACGGTTATGAAAAAAAAAAAAGAAAACAATAACGGACGCCTTTCTACGCCTACAGGGGTGTCTCCCTGGCGGAGCGGCTAGACGCTCGTCGCGGGTCTGAAGGTTGTGGGTTCGCTCCCTGGCGGAGCCGGACTATTTTTTTCTCCAAAAATAACCTCGGCTCCCAGGTCGACCCAGCCTTTAGTGGGTACCGGGTGCACTCACTGGAAGTAAAGGCAGCCGGCGTGATGCTGACCACATCACTGATCTTGTGCCGATTGGTCTTTGGACTATAGGTCCAGCCCTATATGCCCTATACGCCTAAAGGCCTTTACTTACTTTACTTTACTTTCTACGTCTACAAGCGTGCTTGGTCTACAGAGCTAGACCTATATTTTGTACACCAAACGGCACTAGGTGGGTGATGTGATCACTCCGTCCGCCTTTATTTCCCATGAATTTAATTTGTACCCATTTAAAGCTGGATCGGCCTGGTGCCGAGGTTATTTTTGTAGAAAAAAAAAAGGCTAGCTCGGTTAAGACTTGACCCACGACCTTCGAGTCAGCAGACGATGGTCTGTCCGTTGCACCACGGCACTCATGAGAAAAATATGTACATACAAGAAGAAGATGATGATATTGATGATAATGATGATGATGATGATGATGATGATGATGATGATGAATACGTTTGAAATAACTAGTTTCTACAGGCCTGTGAATCAAACATATGGTCTTTGAACAAACTCTTTCTCTCTAACTCTCTAGATTAAATGTGTCTCAACCCGTGAACAGGAAAAGAGTTAATTGTTGATACAATGTCCATCGAATTCCCACAAAACCATACATTGTCAAAAATCATGTACCGTATTAACCCCAGTAACCGCGCGATCTGAAGCTCTACTGGTGCCAATGTCGCCGCAGAATTTAGCCGATAAACGACTTTTTGCACCCCCTGTCACGTACGTTTGTTGTATTATCAATGTTGCTTTCATGCCGCCGACCCGTACAGATAAGGCTCGCCTTCAGAACTTTCCGGGTTTCTTCTAATGAATAGTGATCAACGGTTGTCGATATAATCTTTGCATTTGTATGTTTTCTCCGCTCTTTTCTACGGGTACTCTGTCGACTTACACGTCTACTCGACAGGACTTTTCGTGCGTCCGGTGTGCTTCTCGTGCCTGGCTGTGACGATCTTTAATCCCAATTCCTGCACTTATTAAAGATATGGATGTGCTGTTCCCAAAATTCTCCGAGCGTCCTACCTCTCTAAAGGCATTATCAATGTCAGCATGATCCATGTACGGCCTTCTGTAATTGAGGCAGTGCCAGTTAATATGTCGTCTCTTTCATTGCCAACAACACTCACATCCACTGGGACAAAGATGAAGGTAACTCCACGCACAGTGGAGTTTTGCAGACTCGATCCACTGTATACGTACGAAGCCCGCCTTGACCCGCCAGATCATGCTCATGGAGTCACTCAGCACCAGTGTTAGCACTTTTCTTTGACAAAAAATATTCAAAACAGAGTCAACAAATATATAGAAACATCTAAATATGCGTGGAAAACATCTAGAAAAAAATTCCAAATAGAAACAGTCGCAAATTACATAGCTATAGAATCATGACCTCATCTTTACTGAAGTCTGCATCACCAGATCCACAGGATAAACTTAGCTTGGATGATGAAGTTGAAGCTTCAGATCCAAAATGACTCTGGTATGCTTTAGTTGTTCCAATTTCTTTTAATGCACTGTCAGGGAGCTGATAAGTGGAACAGCATTTTACTACTCTTACCAGGCCGAATTTTATTGTCAAGATAGCATTTAAGAGGTCACATTTTATCCTGTTTCATATGTTAGATTTGATAAATTCACTCCAGATGAAAAATATCTAGAAAAACATATACCATCTAAACGTCAAAAACGCCATCTAAATTCAAGGAAAAACATCTAAATCTGATGTAAAATATCCAAAATGGCAACACTGCTCAGCACACACACACACACACACGTGTGAGAATAGCCCTGCGATACTAGCCACATGGAAGCTCGTGTTACCCAGAGACACCAACACGATTGACGCTTGGTCTGAATAGAGCATCATTTAACCTTTGGATTAGACAGTACAATCTCATGTAAAGCAAGGAAGGAAAAGGAAAATTGACGACATTTGATGTACATGTCATTAGATGTGAGATTTTAAATATGTTAGAGACAGATCAACTTGTTACTCGCCGAAAACTGAAATTTACATTGAAATCACAATACGGTATTGACGTTTCATAAAGTAGTCTGTGAAAAATTGGAAGAGCCATTAGGTTCACTTTCAGGAAAACTGTAGGTGGAAGGAATATTGTTTGTGAAAAGCCACATTTGATTGCAAGTCAAAGAAAATACCTGAGGCGAGGTTATGCTATTGTGTGCACGTGCCTGTGTCTGTGTATGTATGCTTGTATATATGTGTGTGTGTGTGTGAGTGTGTGAGTGTGTGTACGTGTATATTTGGAGTGTGTATGCACTATTTCATTACGTACATTTTTATATAAACATTACACATGTTATTGGTAAAATGCAGTTGCGGTCTGAAAGATGCTTGGAAGGGCCGAAT